CTGCTCAGAGGTATCTACCACAGCCAGCACAACCCCACACAAATAATAATTAAGTGAGCAACAGCCGAGGAGTTGCACCGCATCCTCTGAAAGGGCCATGCTTCAGCTTCTGGAGGAGCTTTTAGTATTTGCAAAGCAGCATAAGACCCAGCACAGGAAACATCTGTATCTCGGGGCTTCCAAAGCTCCATCTCACTTTAAAAAGCTCACAGATTTCTTCACCTACTTCAGTATGAGATACTTCTAGCTCATTAGATATGGAACCACCATGGGATAGCTCCTTCCCATGGAAAATTTTTTGGCTCGCTGCTGAAAAGGATGAGCACACCTTGTGGGCCACCTCAGAGCAGCAACAGACCTCAGAGTGAGAAACCATCCTTATGACTCAAGGGAGAGTTTCTATATTAAATCCATGTTTCTCGATTAAGACCTAGCCCACTTCACGCCAGTTGCCAAAATACTAATTTCTGCTGGTGATTAACTCATTCCCAGTGCCTGGGTATGCCACGTGCTGCCTCCCAGAGCTGCTGGGGAGGCTGGTTACACTGCAGAACATCTCTGCAAACCATTCAAGCAAAGAAAGGATCTTCCAACCCACACCCTCACTGGCAGAATACATCACCTGTTGCTGGAAATGGGAATCAGCTGCCAGGCAACAGTTTTGGGTTCAACGCATTGTCTTCATCATGGATGCACCAAGACATAGAGTCTCTGCAATATCTCTACCAAGGGTGGCCATCGCAAGCCCCGACCCACCACCCATTCCGTGCCACGCGACACCTCGCATCGCCTCATGTGGAGTACAGACTCCAAAAAACCTCCTCATGCCTGAGCAAACCCTGTCACAGAATGACGGTTCAGATCTGGCCAAGTTCCCGCTAGGAAAAATAGCTCCTCACCCTGGAGTTGGGACCTGCTGGTCAGGTTTAGCCAAATACTTATTAGCAGCATCACAGAGATGGATATTGAAAAAAAATCTGCAAAAGCTTGTTTTCAGTAATATTCTGTCTAGGGATCAGTATTAGTGCAGCTCATCGCACATCTCAGTAAGCATCTGACTGAGATGCGACTTGGATTTCAGTTTGGAAAACATCAGAAAGCCCCAGGGTTTGGGGTGAAATCCTTTCAGTTTTCATCTTATTTCAAAAAGGAAAGGTTCCAGTAGG